CCGCTCCCACCCGCCTCCCGCAGCCGCTCGGTGGTCCTGGACGCCGGGAGCGGCCAGCTGCGCCTGGTGGAGGGCCGCCACCCCGACGCCGTGGCCTGGGCCAACCTCACCAACGCCATCCGCGAGACCGGGTAAGGGCTGGCCCGACCCCGCGCGGGCCAGCCGCGCGTTTCTCTCTGCCCCCCGGACCCCCTGCCTCCCGGGGGGTTTCCCGCCTCTGAGGCTGCAGCACCGCCCTCTGGACCAGGTCCCTGTTGGGTGGAGGCTAACGTAGCATCCCTCAGCAAATGGGGACAAGTCCCTTGCCTTCAGCCAGGGGTGACAGTACCTGTGTTCCCCTAGAGACCACTTCCGGCCACCCTGGCCGCAGGACCTCCATCCGGATGGGGTGCCTGGCTGGTGGGAGGTACAGTAACTCCCATCCCCACGGAGGCGAGCCCCCGCCACGGACCACGGGTAGTGATGGCTTTCCAGGAGACTAACTCTGGCTTCCTTGTTTGTAACTTACCCCATGGGTACCAGCCCCCTGTCTCTGTTCCAGAACCAGGGCAGCAGGACTGAGCCTGGATTCCTGGTGGGTCTGCAAATGGAGGGTCCCTAAATTCACATAGACCCAGATAGTCTCACCCGGCTCTGCTGCTTCCTGCCCTCCTCGCTCCTGGTCCAGGGGAAGGTCGCTCGGCCAGATCCTTAGCATGGAGCCACATGCTCCAGTCTTGGCAGTCGTGATCACCGTGATTATTGCTGGGACCCAGGCTGTCACTCTGGTGTGTGACTCTCATCTAACGCCTCTGCCTGTCTGGGCTCTCATTTCCCCGTCTGTGACTCAGATTTTGAGGACTTGCTGTGGCTGGGCGGTTGGGTGGTGCTCCTCTCAGGTCTTGTACCCGGGCTTGTGCCCGTTCATTCACTCACTCACCTGGTGCGCTTGACTGTGGGGACACAGAGCTGAGCAAGGTCGGGGTCCCCACTCAGTGCCGGAAGGGAAACCCGAGTGAGTGGGAGCGGGGATGGTCTGTCTCAGAGCCTTGTCAGCAGGGCCCAGGCCCTGCATCCAGGCTGTGCTGGGGACCTTAGGGAACCCTGAGTCCCCCCACGTCCCATCCTGGGCTCATCCCAGTGCTTAGACTGTGCTGCCCCTCCAGCGGGCTTGGCCTCCTCCCTCGTCTGCCTCTGTCCAGTTTGCTGACATGCATTAATTCCTGCAGGTGTTGAGGAGACACAGGACACTGAGGATACCCCCATTCTGGTGCTTTATGGCACTTGGGAGGGTATCAGGTGGGAGATTGTGGGGAGAGGATTTGCTGCAGACACAGGAGCTGAGTGGGGCTAAGCTGGGAAGGCTCCCAGGGAGAGGAGGCCACAGGGTGGCCTGGTGTCTATGGAGGGAACCAGAGCTCTGTGACTCTGGGATCTGGTGACCCATTCTCTGCTGACTCACACATGGTTTTGGCCCTGCTTCATGGAGCTAAGGGGACATGACAGATCTCTGCCTGGATGCCAGCTAGGGGAGGAGGCCCAGAGGTGAGGCCCAGCATGTGGAGGAGGCTTTGGCCCCAGGAGGCCTCCACTGGGTTGTGTTGTTCTCACTTATGGAAAACAGAGACATGGAGAGAGGGCTTCCTTGATTGTGGCAGATGGAAAGTTCTTCCAGGTCCAGCTCCGCTGTGTGACTTTGGGCAACTCACTTCACCTCTCTGAGCCTGTTTCCTCACCGGAAGGTGGGGCTTGAAGGGAAATTCAGTGGGATCGCAGAAAGCCCCTGTTTATTTATTGCAGGAAGGAAGCAGTGAGAGAAAGGAGCAGGTGTCCTCTGCCCCCATTTTACAGTTGGGGAAACTGAGTCCTGAGACGTGAGCCCAGGTCTCTTCCACACTTCTCACTCTCACCTCACCCTTCTGGCATCTTTTCTGTCCGGTCTGTCATTCCTTCTTACACTCACATGCCCCTTTCTGTCTGAGGTTGACAGCACTTGGGGCTAGGAAGTAGGGAAGAAGAAAGACAGACATCCGGGGTGTCTTGTCGCCCGACCAGCAGAACCTCTGATCTGTGGGTGACTGTCTCATTTATTGAAGGCTGGAGGCCGGGGATGTGACTCCTCCGTTCACCTAGAATTGGGATCCTTCCTCCTTTCTGTCCCTCGGATTTCACTGCTGGGGATCCTGAGATTGTCAGGGTAGATTCCCCACCCCTCCCCCCATGGTCTCTCCTCTTTCCGTTGTGCTGTGTCTAATTTTGCAACGATACTCCCCATGTAGCCTGAAACATTTAGGATTTGGCGCTTGGGGATCAGAGATGCCCCGAGGCTGGGCCTGCGCCAGCCCGGCTCTGGCCTTGGTCCTGGGGAGGTTGAACCCTCCTGCCTTCCCTTTTCCTCCGTCCCTGACCTGATCCCCCGATGAGCTGTTTGCCCTAAATCACCGCAGAGTTGGGAGAGGTATTCGCTAATACCATTAAGAGGGAATTAACCTATTGGGAAGCCGGGAAACAACCCCAGTCCGCCCACCACCAAGCAGAAACCCAGCCCAGTAAAATGGATAAATATGACCCAGCTGTTTCTTTGAAAAGTCACAAAATATAAAGATGTACCATCGAGAATGAGACAGGAGTGACAGCCCAGATAAGGGGGGGCACCCCACGTGGTGGAGGGCATCCAGGGCAAGCTGTGCACTGACGGGGGTAGGGGGTGTGACCCCCTGCCCAGCTCACGTGAGTGGTCTGGCTTTTCCCAAACGTGGCCTCTTCTTTAGGCCCTGGAGGCGGCTGGGTCAGAGGCTTCAGCTGCCCCTGACATAAAATCACAGCGTGGCCCACAGACTTCCCAGGAAAAAAAAAAACAAAAAAAAGATTGGGGAAACAGATCCAGTGCTGCCAACTTTTTATTTTTGTCAAGCAAGTGCGTTAAAAACAAAGCAGAGCAATGTTTATCAACCTCAGTCAATTTTATCTCCTGGAAGATCAGCTATTGGAGAACCCACCAAGCAGAAAGGACATCTCTGGATACAGAGCAGACCAAGGAGCAAGTTTAGCTTTGGAAACACTCTCTTGTCAGTGGCTTTCTTTTGGCCGGGGACCGGGGTAGGGTTTCTGACGGCTGTCAGTCAGCAGAGCAGCGAGGGCTCCTAGAGGCGGGTTGCTGAGGTCCAGGCCTTCCCATTTTACAGGGTAGGAAGCCGAGGCTGAAGGGCCAAGGAAGGGTGGTAGGAGGCAGAGTTGCGGGTTTGCTCTCAGAGATCTGGGTCCAGGTCTCTGCCCCGACACTGTTACAGGTGGCCCTGGGCAGCTGCCTTATTGAGGGTGGTGACAACCTTGCAGGGTCTTTGAAAATATCTTTTGATTAGGGCTTAGGGCCTCCGGCCAGAGAGGGGTCCTCAGAGATCCCGGTAGCTTGGAGCCAAACCCCATGAATGGGAACCTCCCCCACCCCAGGTGTTCTGGAAAGACAGGCCGAAACCCACCTCTCTGGGTTATCTGAGGACTCAGGCAAAATGGATAAACCCCATCAAACTGGATCGCCTCAGTTGCCCTTGGGAATCAGGCAGCCTTCTCTTGAACGAGGGCACTAATTCCATAGTTGTGCTGCTGTGGCCTGGCGGGGTGGGGGGCTGTTGGCACTTTCCAGCCTTCCTTCTTCCTGCCCAGCTTGAAGGAGCCCCACTGCACTTCTCTTTTAAATTTCTGTGTTATAAAGGTAATGAACTTTTCATGGTAAAAATTGTAGCAGTTGAGAAAGGTGAGGTGGGATGTGGGAGGTAAACCCCCGTTCTTTCCTTCCGTATGTAACCACTGGTAGCTCTTTCTTCCAGAATTTTCTATGCATAAACAGGTGTAAACAGACACGCATACATATGTGTGTGTATAGGTATATATGTGTGTGTGTAATGCTTTTATCCGCGGGGTTATCCTGTGTCTACCATTTTTTTTGAATCTTTTTTTTTTGAACTTTGTCTCTGACGTCTTGTCAGCACTTGGCATTCCGCTGTGTGGTTCTAGAAACCCTTGGATGTGCGGATAGATTATTGTAGCAGGCCCCTGGTGATGGACGTTTCAGGAGGTTCCAGTTTTCCTGGGCTCTGGTGAAAAATGCTGCTGTGATCAGGAACCCTCAGACCCGTCTCTGAGGGCTGCGTGAGCGCCTGGTCACAGGCCGGGCTCCGGACTGCCGCCTGTCTCAACATAGCCTTGACTGAGCCCACCCCCCCGGAGGGGCAGCTTTGTACCGGGTGCCGTCTGGAGGAAGGCCGCTGGGCTCCGGGTTATAACCGCGTCTGAACAGCTTTTCTGGTCCCGTGTAGTTTGTGTCCAGCCTCCCTTGACTCCTGCGGCCTTTCATCATGAGGAGACCTGCATACTGGGCCCTATTATGATCTTCCTGCCATCACCAAACCTGCTGGGTCTCCCCAAACTCCCCTCTTGGATTCGTGGTGAGACAGATATTTAGTGAGCGTAAAACGTGTGTTGCCTCCTGGCCCACGCCATAGCAACCCTCTGAAGTGGGAGTCCCTGTGCCCATTTTACAGATGAGAAAGCTGAGGCCCAGAGAGGTTAAGCAATTTGCCCAAAGGTACACAGCCTGTAGAGATCTGGAGATTCAAACAAAGTCTGAGGGACCCACAAGCCCAGACTCTCTTTGTCCTCCACTCTCCTTGAGATTTAAAATCTTCATTCCAATCTCTTGTGTTTTTCTGTCCTTATCTGTGATTATATGAGTCATTAGCCCAAAGTTTGTGGCTCTCATCTTCCCTTGATAAGAACACTGCCCCGCGCCACACACCCACGCAAAACAAAACCCCACGAAACTCAGTTGAGTTAGAGGCTCAGAGCACATGCCCTGGAATCTCAGTCTCAGCTCCGTCCCTTATTTGCTGTGTGACCTTGGGCAAGTGACTTCACCTCTCTGAGCCTGGGTTCCTACATCTGTAAAGTTGGGAGAATAAAACCCATGTCATAGGGTCTTTGGGAGAATTTAGAGTGATAAGTAACCATGTGATGTGCTTAGCACAGTGCCTGGGGGCTGTTGTTATCTGCCGTAGCAGGGCTTCATTACCAGTCCCCACTGCTTGTCTTGTCTGCCTCAGCGTTCTTTGCTTTGGAGCATTCAGAGTTCAGGCTTCCTTCTTTTGCTTTTCCTCTTCTCTCTCCTCAGGGCAAGCTCCTACTTAAACGTCAAAACCCAAAGCAGCTGTCACCTCTTCTGTGAAGCCTTCCTAGATTTTACTCAGTAGCAGCAGGGGCATTCCTCCTCAGGGCGCCCTCTTGGCACTTTATTCCTTTTCTCATCGTAGCGGCTACCCTGTTATGTTGTTGTATGTTTACATGTCAGTCTCCCCTCTCCCCATTAGCTTTTTGAAGGCCGGGACTGAATGTCATTCATCCTTGTATACCCTCAGTGTCTGGCACCCAGTAGGCACTCAAAGAGCCTTGCTTGGCCAACGTATCAGCTGTGGGTATTCTGATAGTCGTTTCCTTTCCAGATCCTTCTCTAGGGCAGGGCTGTTCCTGTCCTGGTGCTCTTCCGTGGCTTTTTAGCCACCCTCCCCTGAGACAGTCTGGTCGAGCCGGCTCTCCATCTTGTAGCCTCTTCAAGGTCTCTTCAGTGTCTTCCTGTTGCCCTCATTTTCTTAATAGAAATTGCCTTAACAAGTGTTTTCCTCCTAGTTACGGAAGTCACCTGGTGGATATTTTTCTGTCCTTGGAGCGAGGATGAAATCCAGAACTGTAAAGCAAAAGATTGATAGATTTGGCTGCACAAAAGCGAAAACCTCAGTTTGGCAAAAACAAAAGCAAAAATCCATTAAAATGCAAACATATTTTCAATATTAGTGTCAAGCCAAGGGCTAATGTGTATATAGAGAATTTCACCAATCAATAAGAAAAGATAAAAAAAACACAATACAGAAAAATGGGGAAAGGCCAGGAGCCCAGGAACTGTAAATGATCACTAAAAATAAGAAAATATATGTAACTTAACTAAAGGATTATAATGCAAAAAATGCGATGGAACTTCTCCACCATCACCTTAGCAAAGATGAACAAGATTGATGGGAGTCATTTGAAGCAAGGGAGAGGCAGACGGGAGTTTGTACATTGTAGAAAGGCAGTGTAGACCTCACTGTGGCTCCAGGACTGGCAGCATTGACGTCACTGGGGGCCGGTTAGAAATACAGGGTCAACCCCAGACGTCCTGATGAGAATCTGCGTCCTACCAAGGTCTGTGACCTGGATGCACGTCAGAGTTGGAGAAGTGCTGCTTCCGAGGAGGAGTGGGAGCCGGCCCTCCAGAATTGAATCCTGGCTCTGCCCTGTGTGAGCTCTGTGACCTTTGGCAAGTGTATCAGCTAGTGTCGGGCAGCAGTGCTGTGTGACAAACCCCCCCCCCACCCCGCCCCGGGCCCAGGGGCTTAAAACAGCAACCATTTATCCTCATGGATCCACGGGGCAGCTGGGGCAGCTCTGCTTCGTGCTGTAGCTCTGGCTCCGTGTGGCTCTTGTACTCCTGGGCCCAGTGGGCTGGCCGTGGCATGTTCTTCTCACGCAATAGCAGAGGGACAGGAGGGCAAGGGGAGGCATGGAAGGCCTTTCAAAAGCTCATCTTATAACCGGCACATGGTCACTTCCACCCACAGCCCATTCGCCAAAGCAAGTCACATGACACTGCCAAGCACAAATGAAGGGGGTGGGGAAGGACACTTGGCTGTTGGTGGGAGGGACTGCGGAGTCACACACACAACAAAGGACGTGCATGTGTGTGGGGGGGCAGCACCAGTCTACCACAGGAATTATGTCACTCTGTGCCTTAATTTCCTCCTCCTCCCGACAATGGAGACGGTAATGGTGCCCACCTTGTGGGACTGTAGGTTGTCACGAGGATAAAATGAGTTAATTGTGATGAAAGTGACTAGAACAGTGCCTGGCCCAGAGGAACCCTTTAATAGATACGCTGTTATTGTGTGGGTAGGAATGAAGGTCAGTACAGCTTTTTGGGGAGGATGTTTGTCGATATCTATTCAAATTAAAAATACATGTGCCCTGGGCCAGCCCCAGTGGCCTAGTGGTTAAGTTCAGTGCGCTGCACTTCAGTGGCTGGGGTTTGGTTCCCGGACATGGACCTACACCACTTGTCAGTGGCTGTGCTGTGGTGGTGGCTCACATACGAAAAAATAGAGGAAGCTTGGCCACAGATGTTAGCTCAGGGCGAATCTTCTTCAGCAAAAAAAAAAATAAATCTATATATAGATATAGATATATATACACGTGCCCTTTGACCCAGCCATTCCTCTTTTAAGGGTTTATCCGGACAAGTGCACAAAGTCAGACAGACAGACATTCACGTGAACGGCAGGTCATCACTGTGTCATGTTTTATGATTAACACGGGAGCCGGCTGCGTGCCGAGCTGAGGCCGGCTCTGTGCCTGCCCCTGCGTTGACCACGTGTCCCCTCTCCTCCCCTCTAGGTGGGCCTTTCTGGAGCTGCGCACCGACGGCCGCTACAATGACAGCCTACAGGCCTACGCAGCAGGCGTGGTGGAGGCCGCCGTGTCTGAGGAGGTAAGGGCCTGATGGGGGAGCCCGGGGCTCCCACCTCCCCGCACCCACCGAACGTGTTCCCCAGGGAGCTGGAGGGTTCTGAGGTGTGTGCAGAGTGGGCGCCCCCGGCCCTCCTTCTAGTTCGGGAGAAAAGGCTCGCATGCATTCATTAAAAATTTACGCTAGGTACCATTTGATGCGTATAAAAGATACATAACGTTTTCCGGGTTCCGAAGCATGATAATAAAATCAGCACCCACACTGAAGCCTACAGTGTTACTGATATCATTGAAACCCCCTCCCAGCCCCATCCTCGTCTCCCTGACCCCCAGAGGCACCCACCGCCCTAAATGTGGTGACTATCGTGCCCTTACTTTCATTCATTCATTCATTCACTTATATATTGAGATAAAATTCACATGCCATAAAATTCTGCATTTTAAAATATACAATTCAGTGATTTTTCATATATTCATAAGGTTGTGCAACCATCACCACTATCCAATTCCAGGACATTCTCATCACCCCAAAAAGAAACTCTGTACCTGCTAGCAGTCACCTCTCTTTTTCCCCCTCACCCCAGCCCCAGGCAACCATTAATCTACTTTCTGTCTCTATGGATGTGCTTATTCTGGACATTTCTTGTAAATGGAATCGTACAATATGTGGCCTTTTGTGACTGCTTTCTTTCACTTAGCATCACCTTGTCAAGGTTCATCCATGTTCTGGTGTGGATCAGGACTTCATTCCTCTTTATGGCCGAATGATATTGCGTTGTGTGGTTAGACTGTTTTATTTTTCCATCATCGGTGGGTGGCCCTTGAGTTGTTTCCGCTCTCCCACTATTGTTAAACTAGTTTTACTACTCGTGATGTATCCTTAAACACGTTGTTTGTGGTTTTGCTTTACTTGATTTGGGCTTCATAAGCGGTAATCGTAAATTCCAGAAGCCAGACAGAATCGGAAGTGGCCAGGCCGTTGTGTGATGGCCGTTCTCCCCGCCGAGGGCGGGGGTGTGACGCCCACTTCGGACAGTAGTTTGGCTTTGACTTGTAGAGCTGACCATGTACCTGCCCTAGGACCCCGCGGCGCCGCTCCTCAGGTGTGCACCCAGGAGGGGACCCGAGGACAGGCATGAGGTGATGCGAGCAGCCCCAGGCGGGAGCCCCCAGCTGCGCCCCTCGGGTGGAGGGTGACCGGGTTGGGTGCAGTCACACAGTGCGGTCGGGTGGAGCGTGAGAAGGGCCGAGCATCGCGGGTGAGTCTGCGCTGCGTGATGGCGAGGGGGAGGAGCACGTGGCAGGCGACAGTGCAGAGTGTGGCATGGTCCTCGTGGACACCCAAATGCAGTTTTGGACGCCCTCCCGGCATGACTGGCGAGGTGCTCAGAAGCTGGGCCAGGACTGTTTCGGGTCCTCTGTGGGGAGTGAGACTTGATTCTCTCAAGGGGCACGTAGCCTGCCAGGGACCCCGAGGCAAGGCCTGAAGTGGCTGTCATGTAAGGAACCCCGGACACACGTGCTAGGCCCTCGCCCACGTGATCTCACTCAGCCACACGCCAGCCCCTGAGGGACACATGACCACCCCCTCTGAATGGGTGATGCTGAAGCTCAGGGAGGTGAAGCGACTTACCCAAGGTCACACAGCCAGTCAGCAGTGTTCAAACCCAGCTCTGTCTGACCAGTCTCTGCTTCTAAGCAGTTTTCTCTGCCGCCTCCCCCACTGGCCCGTGGCTTCGTGTGGGCAGTAGTCGTGTCCTGTCCCAGCTGTGTCCCCCGTACCTGGCCCAGAGCCTGGTATAGGACAGGTGCTTGGGAAATGCTTCTGGAAGTAGTGGAAGGCTGCATGGAGGAGGTGGCATCTTACCAGGGCCTCAAGGGATGAGAGAATTTGAATGTGTTTCAGGGAGATGGCGATGGAGCAGGGGTCCCTAAGCTGTCAATCTCGGGACAGTGGGTACTGCCGGGAATATTTGCAGTGTGGTGGGGGGTGTGGCCGGAAGTTACCCCAACCTTTGCCCAGTGAGGTCTGTGCTTTGGGAAATTACAAATCCACGTCTTTCTATGGGTTTAAATTGTGGCTCTTTGGTTCACTACCTGGGTGACCGTGGGTAAGTTACTGACCTGCCCGTGCCTCAGTTTCCTCGGCTGTAAAGTGGGGATGGTGATAATGGCACTTTCCTTGCAGAGTTGTCGTAAGGTTTGAATGTGTCAGTCGTATAAAGAGTGATATTAACGTTAGCTGTGGGCAACCGACACTTCTCTGTAGCACCAAGATCAGCAGACTTTCCTCCTCGTGCTAGACTGTCAGCTGGTGGTTTTGTGATCCCGGCCAGGCCCGGCTGATCTTGGCTGGACTCTCGATGCTTCTGCAGTGAGCTGGCAGGTCTGCTGGTGGCGCCGGCCTGGGATGGCCTCGGTCCTGTGTCTGGGGTGGCTCTCTGTCAGCTGGGGTGATGGGGACCACCGGGCTCACATGGTCATTCACCCTCCACAGGCTGGCCCAGGCTTGTTCACATGACATGGGGCGGGGAGGTGCGGAAGGCCTCTTGAGGGCTGGCTGACACCGGCACAGTCTCCTCTTGCCCCAGTGAGGCAGCAGTGCGTTCCCTGCTCTGTCCTCAGTGCCCGGGACAGGTGCTCAGAAGAATGGTAGTTGACTGGCTGATTGAATACACGTATTGATGGGGGTCTCCAGTAACCGAGGAGGCATAATCTAGGACACACTGAATGCTGGAGGCTTTCAAAGGAGGGAGATGTGCAGAGGCACTGGGCTCTGATGGGAGTAAGAGCTGGGTGGGCAAGAAGGGCCTTCGGGGAGAGGAACCAGCGTGGGCAGAGGTGCAGAGGTGGCTTCTCCAGGGCCCCGGCTCTTTGGAGACCCGGATGGGGGTGAGGACTCTGAGCCCGAGCGGGGAGCCAGCAGGGTCCTCAGGGAGAGAGCAGGCCGGCTGCCCCTCCCTGCCTCGCCCTCCCCCCACAGCTCATCTACATGCACTGGATGAACACCGTGGTGAATTACTGCGGCCCCTTCGAGTATGAAGTCGGCTACTGCGAGAGGCTCAGGGGCTTCCTGGAGGCCAACCTCGAGTGGATGCAGGAGGAGATGGAGTTGAACAAGGACTCTGCCTACTGGCACCAGGTGGGTGCCCGCCAGCCTCAGTGGGATGGGGTGGCGGGTGGGTCTGCTCGGGGACCTGCCACTATGGCCACTGCTGCCCTGCCAGCCAGCTGACCCGCCCGCCTCCCGCCTTCTTGGCCAACCCTGTGGTGTGTCCAGCTGCCCAGCCACCCTTATGTCCATCATTATCTCCGTCCCTCCTGGCCGACCTGCCACTCATCCATCTGTCCAGTCTCCACCTGTCCGCCCTTCCATCCACCCACTTGGTGGAACTCCAGCCATGCAGCCAGCCCATTCTGTCCTCCTCCTGTCAGAGAATCCCTGAAGACATGAATCAGCTGTGAGCACGCTGTCTTGGTTGCATACAGGGGAGAGGGCTTGACTGATGGATTACATCAGGTGCAGGTGAAAACAGTGTTTCTAGAAGCGAGAGAGGGAAAGGGGAGTACTAAAAAGCCCAGAAGTTTGGGCACAGTGAGTTTGTTTTCCTTTCCTCTGGTGAGCTGCTGAGCAGCCAGCGGCTGACAGAGAGGCCCAGGCAGGGTGCTCTGCCCATGGGCCGATGACCAGGTCATCAGGGAAGCCACTATTTATGGATTCCCTGAAACACCGCAAGAGGTTCACCGCAGAGGACGCACCGCAGGCGGCCTCTGGAAAATGGCTCAGTGTCCGTTAGCGCCTCCAGCTGGCCTAGGCCGCGTGTGCACCGTTTCCCTTAGAAATGCCCAGTTCCCTTAGAATTGCACCAATTCCCATAGAATTTCTCACTGTCCACTCACCCACCTACTCATACCCTTGCTAAAAAAGGCTTTCCTCCCCATCTACTCACTCATCCACACACCCACTCATCCACACACCCGTCCACACACCCGTCCACCCACCCACCCATCCACCCACCCATCCACCCACACACCCGTCCACACACCCATCCACACACCTGCCCATCCACACACCCATCCATCCATCCACCCATCCACACACCTATCTACCCATCCACCCACCCATCCACACACCCATCCATCCATCCACCCATCCACGCACCTATCTACCCACC